AGATATTAAATGATACTTTTAATGCTATAAAAATAAAAACAAAATTAAATTTATATTGTTCTTAGACTCCGTGCTTTTTGCTAGAAAGTCTTATATTATGGAACAAAGAGAGTAATGTTTATTTCATCGGAAAAAAATTGATGAGTAGTTTATTTAGAGTCAAGGATTCAAAGTGTTAATTGGAACTCTTGAGTTTGTCTCAGATTAAAAGTGGTGAATTTATGGAGGTTGATTATAAAGTCGTAGAAAAAAAGGAGATAGGCGTGAGCAACATATAAATGTTGGGATAGAGTTGTATGAGAAAGAGTGAGGCGTGACGTGAGCATGAAAGCACACTCCAAAAATAACCGGATAATATACACTTAGACACACCAAAACTAACCCTATTTCTTCTTAAGAAAACGTTATATATGACCTAAATTTTACTATATTTGAACTGTATTGAACTATAATTTTGTTTAGTTTGTGAGGGTTAAGACTCCCACACTTCGGATTTACTTCCTTTTAATTTGTAAAAAATGTTCTCTTGATATATTTATTTATTTGTGAAGGTTAAGACTCCAACAGTTGTTTAGTCTCATATATTTATTTGATGAATTTTGAGTTTCCTAYAAATATAAATRGTATATGTATAAACTATTAAAATTTGACTTAAAACTTATTTTCTGGGAAAATTAAATATTATTTGAAATCAATTTAAAATATTAATATGCGATTAAATAAATTCAAGTGTAATCTCATCGATTAARTTGTTTTATGAAAATATCAAATTTACGTTTTTGTATCTAAATATACACTTTGATGCTAGAGTTTAGGATTTATGTATTGTTTTCAGTAGTTACATTCATTTATGAGGGTTTAGACACCCATGTTAGGGTTTATCACCCCTTAAATTTCCAAAACAATGATGGTGTAATGTTAATGAATAATTTTAAACGTTTGGATAAAAAAAAAGTAATGAAAAGTATAATAAATATTGATTTCTAAAATCAGATCTACGAATTAAAATTTATTAACATGGTATAAGTGGCATCATATTCCTAATTTATAATATCGTTTAGATGTTATAACAACTTAAAATGCTCACAATGACATAATTAGTTATATCAATATGATTAGTACATTAGAGGTGTGTCTACTTAAATTGTATGATTTTTGTTTCAATTTAGAAYTAAAAAAATACCTATTTTAAAACCTAAATCATATTTTGATGAATAATAAATTATTAACAAAACTTATATCCACACAGGGCGCGGGTACTACCCTAGTTAGATATAACTATATAAGATTAATATCGAAAAAAATGCATGTACTATTCTTTATTTGTTTTATTTTGGCATAAACAATACTTTGTTGAAATAAAACATTACGAATATATATCAAAAGTAAACTTGTGGATTATTAGTGGTGTTTTCTGATACCGCAATTGAATTGTGCATGAACAAAACTATTTTGGAGTTTTTGTATCAAACTCGGATGACCACCTATATATATGATCATATGGATCATATCTTTTTATTATTACTACATTTTTTTTTAATAAAACACATGCATATGCATTAACTTTTTCACCCCAACTTAATACTTTAAATAGACTGCAGAATGAGTAATGGCCTGGGAATTTAAGGTTTGTTATATATGCATCTATATATCATTTAATTTCCAATTTAATAACCCCACCAATCTCCCATTTAAATGCATTGAAATCCCAAGACCAGTCTCACTGCCATATAATTAAAGTATACCAAATTTAATTTTACACTGCATTTTCTATATTCATACGGTTACACATTTAGGGCAAGCCGTCTTATTAGGAGGAGTAGTAGTATTTTTTTTCTTCGTGGTCAGCATTTATATATAAAACATTAATGTGCACCAAAATAACGTATCGATTTTTTTTTGTAAGTTTTAGACCATCCACCTTGGTAGTCTCTCACCAAAATATTAACAGATACTAATATTTAGAGAATTTTTTTAAAATATCATTTTTTAAGTGTTACTTTTTAAAAATACTACTTTTTAAAAATATTATTTTAAAAAAAAAATCATTATATTATTTATGTTTGGGTTAACTATATTTTATTAAAATTTAGTTTTGAGAGTTTTATGGGTTTTAGAAGTCAAAATATTTTTTAGAGTTTATAATTTTAAGATTTAGGATTTAAAAATTCATAATTAGTAGTCTTTTTGCAAATAAACTCCCCTAAATGACATTCTTACAAATAAACATTTGGTATTTTACAATTGCCCATAATATTTAATCATTAGAGACTCTCTCAAAATTTCTCAAATGAGAGAGTCTTTCACATTTTATTTGATACA